GGCCATTCTTGCTAAATCTTTTTATTACCTTGTGCTTAAGTACATTATCTCCTCAGTGTTTGCATTCCTCTCATTTTTCAGACTACAGGAAATGATAAAGTAAAAAAAAAAAAAAAAGAAAAAAAAGGCCTCTCTTTGCTTTCAACCTTGGAGTGCCAGGAGGGAGGGCATCTGTGAAATTCCTCCCTGGATCATAAAGAGGTTTTAGGTTGCCCTCACCTGACAGTTACGGCAGCTCTCTTGAGTCCAGTCTCCCCACGGTCTGGATATTTTAAAGCAATGTGGTTTCATTCTGGGGTGTGTGTGTGTGGGGGAGAGATTGCCTTGGTTCTTTGTAGGGACCTCTGAAAATGGGAGAGTTGCCCCCTCTTAGGAGCATAGCTTTCAGAAAGGAAGGGACACAGGCAGCAGGAAGGGGCTGGGGAAAACAGTGGGGACGGTGCCATTTGTTCAAATACTGATCGAGCTGAGCACACGGAGGTGACCAACGGTGGCCAAGACCACCCTCCAACCTAGCACTGAGGAGCTAGCAAGGGTGAGGCTCGTGCCGTCGCTGCTAACATGCTCAGGGGGTGAGTGATGTGCCCAAGTCCTGCAGCTGGTGAGGGACAAAGCTGGGACTCAAACTCCCGTTCGTGGGGCTGGGTGCCAAGCCTGGCCCTTCGCCTCCCTGGGTTCCCTGCAGTTCTTCCTGCAGTGTCGCCGGCGAATGATTGCAGGTGTGTTGGAAAGCGTGGGTTCCAAACAGCAGCTAATGCAACTCTTAATTCCAGAATGATGTTCTCTAACTTCAAGGAACTGACTGGAACCCAGAATCACGGGGGGACACACGCACTTTTCACAGTGGTGGTGTGCTCCTCACTGACCACATTGAACAGTTGCTAACCATCCTTCTCTTACTTGCTTTGGGTAGGAACTATCACTACCTGACATGGGAGGAAAGCAGTTTGGACAGGTTTCACGTTCCCTGTTCTTCCCCTCTGATCGCTACATGGTTTGTGGGTTTGTTGATGCACATGTCATGATTCCAGGCATGAGTTAGGGTCCACTGAGGCTTTCCCTGAGAGCGAGTCAGGAAAGGGCCCTGCCCTGAAAGAGCAGATGGTGTAGACAGGAAAGCCGTTACAATCCAGAGTGAGGAATGCCGCAGGGGGTGAGCTGAGCCCGCCTGCTGGTACCTGCAAGGGTCAAGGAGGGTGACCTCTAAATTTACAGGAGGGAGGAGCAGGCATTGGCCAGGTAAAGGTTAGTGGAGGCAGGTGGAGTGGAGCGGAGTGGAGGAGAAAGGCCTTCGGGGCAGGGAAGACAACATTTGCAAAGGTTTGGAGGAGATTGGATCTCAAGTTAAATGTTAAAACTGGAAAATCATGTAAATCTTATCTGTGCTTTAAGTTGAGTTGCTATGAGAATCAGATCAAACACAATCTGGCTTTTCCTTTCCCTCCTTTCCTTCCCTTTGGGGAGAAGAATTCTCAGGGGTGTTGGGTGCTTCTCTGATGGGTGCCTGAGAGGTAAGGGGTTTCAGGCCCTTTGAACTCGAAGATGACACTGCTGACCCCCCAAGGCCAAAGGCTGAACTTGAGTCCTCACACACAGGCTGGGGGCCTCAGTGCTGGCATGGCCAGGTTTCAGCAAATCCCCCACCTTCCCTGTGGCCAGGGGAGAGGTAGCGCCTCCATATAAAACCATCAGTGAAGTTTGTGGCATAGAAATGACCTTGGAGTCAGTATGTAGTTCCTGGTGACATTGTACATTCTTAAATTCCAACAATCATGGAACCATTAACTTTGACATTTCAAGTCAGAGTTTTGCTAGAATATCAAAAATGCCTCCTCCTGGCCGGGCGCGGTGGCTCACGCCTGTAATCCTAGCACTCTGGGAGGCCGAGGCGGGCAGATTGCTCGAGGTCAGGAGTTTGAAACCAGCCTGAGCAAGAGCGAGACCCAGTCTCTACTATAAATAGAAAGAAATTAATTGGCCAACTAATATATATAGAAAAAATTGGCCGGGCATGGTGGCGAATGCCTGCAGTCCCAGCTACTTGGGAGGCTGAGGCAGCAGGATCGCTTGAGCCCAGGAGTTTGAGGTTGCTGTGAGCTAGGCTGACGCCACGGCACTCACTCTAGCCTGGGCAACAAAGCGAGACTCTGTCTCAAAAAAAAAAAATGCCTCCTCCTTAACACCGTAATAGTTTTCTTTCCTTTATGGGGGCTTTGATCTTAATAAGCTCTTATACTTAGGTAGAGATGACAGCACTGTGTGTGTGTGTGTGTGTGTATGCACACCTACTGGACTTGTAGCTCAGCTCTATCACACGCTAGGTCTGTGAAGGAACTTTCTGAGACTCAGTTTCCTCCCCTGATGTGATGGTGCCCACCTCACCTGACGTTCAGGGCTGAGATTTTGTTTATAAAGAGCTTAGTGCAGTACTTGGCACAGTGTTAGCTTTGAATAAATGGTATCTATTATGTGCACACAAAAAAAGACTGTATAAAAGCGTTGGCAGCATTTATCTCCAGGGGGTGGGATTATGGTTACAGTGGACATTTATTACTTTTATAATCAGAAAAAGAACAATAAATGTTATTATTTTAAAATCTAGCTTTGGCTTTGTCGGAAGGAACCTGCAGTTACTGCCAACGTACCGACTCCCAAGTGTAAGACAAGTCCCCTGGTTTTATAGCAGGACTTCAGGACAGGCGCGCTGCCCACCCCCACCCCTCCCATCAACTCACAGAGAATATAGCAAAGGGACATACGTGGTCGGAAATCTAGAGAAATTTCACCTTCACCCAGCCTCGCAGTGCCCGACCACTGCTGTCTGGGGGGGGGGCAGGGGCAGGGATTCAAAAACGGTGGCTCTCAAAGTAAGGCTCTGTCTCTCATTGGGAGGGTTCTCCGGGTTCTTGGCTGGAAATCTGACTCTCCAGGGAACGAGGCCAGGAGAGTGACATTTACCCTCTGTTGGGCCTTCGCTCAGGAATCTCAGTTAGAAAATAAACATGCAGGAGTCCACTTCCAGCTGGGGGGCTGTGACTGTCCTGGTCTGACATCCAGGACAATCTGAGGCCCAGGCCCTTGGCTCTGCCCCTGGTCAAGACTGTTGACTGCCAGCCCAGTGCCCGGGGAGCTGCAGGGACAGCCCACCTGGACTTCCGGACCCTGCTCCAGTCCTCTCTCTGCTCCTCCCCCTGGGCCATGCCCAGCCAAGCAGGAAGGGGCAGAGAGCCCACCCCACTCCGGTCATCTTTGGAACCCCCAGGCTGCACTGGGCTGGGTTCTGAGCTGCTTGCTTTCTCCTCTTTGGCACTGTGTGTGTGTGTGCGTGTGTGTGTGTGTGTGTGTGTTGCAGTGGGGGGGGTTGGTTGGATATTGCTGCTGGCTCTAGAATAAAATGCCGCCTCTGTTAGGGAGACAAAGAACACAGTGGCTCCTCCGGTCAGCTGTCTCTCCTGCCCGCCAGACCCTGGCCTCCCCCAGCTGCCGCTGAGGCTCTGGGCGCCTTGTGCGGTGGTGGCCTTTGGGGCTAGGCTGGGAGCTGCGGCACTACCGGAGTGTTCACCGGAGCGTGAAAGAGCATTTTACCTTAAAAGACCCCAAGCAGCTTCTGTGCCCTGGAGATGTTCGTTTGCAGGGGTGGACTCTGGCGGGGGCGGAGGGGCTGTGGCTGGGGAAGCAGCCTGACTTACCGTTGGCACCAGGGCCGGCGAGAGCATGCATGAGCCCCAGCGCGCGTGGGGACACGGGAAGGCGTGTGCATGCCCCATGTCGTGTGTAACAGCAGGTGCGCGAGTGTGCTGGGATGGGGAGAAAATTCGCAGGGTACGGTAGAGCCCAGGCGAGATGTGTACGTGTGTCCGCTGCAGCACGTGAAAGTTTTGCACCGCGGTTTGAGGTGGTGCAGGTGTGCGTGGCCCACCTGGCGTGGGGCTGTGTGCGCCACCGCGTGCGCGAGCCAGGTGCGGGCGTGGAGTGGCGTGAGAGCCGGCGCGGGAACGCACGAGCACGTGCGTCGGTGCGTGTGCACCGGCGTGTGCGGGGCGCGGGGAGGCCCCGCGTGTGAGCGTGAGCGTGCGGGGGCTCGTGCCCTGGCCGGCGCGTGCGTGTGGAAGCTGGCACGCACGCCGCCCCCCGCCGGGGTCGGAGCCGGTTGCCATGGGAACGCGGCGCGGCCCGAGTTAATCATTTCCTGTGGAAAGTGTGCGGGAGGGCGGAGCGGCGGAGAGAGGCGGCGGCGTGGAGCTGCCTCCCCGCGGGCGGGCGGGCGCTGCGGCGACGCCGGGATCCTGCCGCCGCCAGGCCGGTGAGTCCCAGTCGGGCGGGCTGGGGGCGGCTGGGCGCTCGGGCTCCGCCCGGCCCGCTCGGGGCGCCGCGTCGGGCGGCCCTGCCCGCGGGACGCGTCTGCCCGGGCCCGCGGGGCGCGGGGAGGGCCGGCCGAGACCCAGCCCCGGGGTACCCGGCGGCGCGGTCACCCGAGAGCTAGGCAGGGGCGGCGGGTCCTCTGGGGTCGGAGCAGCCTCGGACCGGTTTGGGAACCCAGAGCCTACCCCGCAGTGTCAGCGCCGCCCCTCTCCTTGCAGGGGCTCCCCCGCCCTCAGGGCTCCCCTGAAGGCTGCTGTTTCGGTTCCTTCCACCGCGTCCCTTGGGCAATGCGCCTTACCCTTGGCAGGGCAGGGCCGGGCTGGCCGGGCCAGCCCCGAGGTTAGGAGGGAGGGCCGTGGCCGGTGAGGAATTGGGCCATTGACAGCCGTGGCTGGGGGTCTCAGCAGGGAGGGGAACCCAGAAGCCACCCCCTTGGAGCCGGCACTGCCAGTCACAGCAGAACTCTGCCTGGCGCAGGGAAGGGCCTGGTCCTGGGAGATTTTAAAGAGGGAGCTGTATTTAAATTTGCAAGAACCATTTGCCACTCCACCCCCTAACACATCTGTCTGGAGGTTGGGGGTGGTGGCCACCCCTGGCCTTTCACCTTCCTGGGCTTTCCCTCTGCCTGGCTTTCCCTCTGCCTGATCGTGCCCCCATGCCCTTGATAGAGTAGCCGTCTCCTTGGTCAGGGAAAGTCATTTGCCAGGAATGCAGCCTCAGAATGGGGCCCTGTGTTTGCAGTGGCTGAACTTCAGGGGCACAGGGTGGGGAGTTCTGCTGTTCATATGGCACCAGGGAGTGGAGAATTTGAAATCTGGTTTGCTCTGGAAAACCCAGGATGTGTGACTATGTGCAAGGGAGATCCCAGCCCGTGTCCAACCTCCCCCACCTTCTGCCTGCTCTCCCAGGGGGACCAAGCCCTCCCCAGCAGGGATCTCTGGGCAGCTGTCAAGTCTGTGCCCCAAGCTTTGCAATGCCCCTGGTCTAGGACAGGTGGGAGGACTGCAGCTCTGGCCCCCTGGCCTAAATCTAGAGAGACAGCTAGATGCCCTCTCTTCCTCCAGCCCCTCTGCCTTCACCCACCACTGGAGTGAAGTCACTGAAAAGTAAAATACTCCAGCTCTTTGTATGTGCCAGTATTCTGAACACTTCATACGACGTGCATCGTCTAATCTTTTCACTAGTCCTATACGGTGCAGTTCTCCCCATTTCATAGATGGAAACAATGAGGCACAGTAATTCTCCCAAGGTCACGCATCTAGTCAGTAGTAGAGCCAGGTTCTGAACCAGCAGGCTTCTGAACCCGTCCTCTGCCCTATCCCGTGAATCCTAGGTTGGTAGAGGCCCTAGGACATTAGGTTGGGCATCAAATGCCCATGCAAATGAGGAGCAGGAGAGTGCTGCTTTCTTGGCTCAGAACCCCTGGCTTATTTGAGATTCGCTGATGCTTTTGACCTCACACCCCTCCGGCTGCTAAATTCAGCTGCTTTTTCCTCTTTGGGATCTAGCACACACCCTTCCTCTTTCTTCCTGACATCTTCCTGGCTGCCTCCCCGACTTCCCTTCCTGAGAGTCACAGAAATGTTATCTCCTCCTGTCCCTGTCCCTTAGACTTAGGGGACCTCCCTGAAAGTCTTCTCCCTCTACCGTGCAGTCTGCTCTCAGTGCCCTGCACTGTCTCACCTTCCCCGCAGCTGGGCCGGCAGCTGGGCCTGTCTCTCCTCTGCCTTGCCCATTGGGCAGCTGCTCTGCGGGGTTGGTCGTGTGCCCGGCGCCCTGCAGGACAACCTGGGGGAGAGGACGCTTGACTTCTTCCGTGCCACACTGCTCCATCGGAGCCAGCCCACGTATTTGGATTAGCCTCTGCCCTGTCCTTTGGCCCACATTCCTGCTCCCTTTCCAGTAGTACAGCTGCACCCAGGACCCCCCCTCCTAGTTGTCCTTTCAGTCAAGGAAGGAAGGGACTGCGACTCGCTGGCCAGGGGCCCGGCGGCACTTCCAGGGCTGGGCTCTGCACACGTCACATGGCAGGTCCTCAGGCCCCTGCTCTGGACTCTCAGTGCTCGGTCATTCCTGCCCCTCGGTCCCCCCAACATGCGCAGTCCTCCCTGTCCTAACACCCCTGTCGTGTCCCGGCCAAACTTCCCCGAATAGAAGGAAGTGGCCGCGTCCTCCAGCTCCTGCTCCATTCCTTGAGCCCCCCAAGTCTGCCCACCACCCTCCTCCCTCTGAGAGCCCCAGGGCTTTCTGCCTGTCTCGGCTTCTTCCCGCTGTCTGTGCCTCTGCTGTGGCTTGGCTCGCTGGGAACTGACCGTGCTCTCCTTCCCACGTGCTCTCCGGCCACTCCTGAGGACCCTGCGTGTGCCCGGCACGCCTGCCACCTCTGACCTTCCTTCTCCAGCTTCCCACCCCCAGAGCGAGCTCTGACCCTCCTAGCTGTCCCTCCTCTTGCTCAGCCTTTGGCGACTGACTCCCACCTGTGGCATCGGTGGCCCTATTTACCTCTGAGTCTTGGTGTCCAGCCCTGACCTCTCTTCTGGGCGTCAGTCCCAGCTTTTGTGTGTGTGTGTGTGTGTGTGTGTGTGTGTGTGTTTCAGGATGTTCACCCAACAGGCCATCTCGGAACTCTGGGTCTGGGCGCACCCGGGCCGGCTGCGCGGGGCTGCCACGACCAACGTGCCTGCGCTCTGCCCTGTCTGCTGCCCGGCAGGAAGTGGTCGCTGCAGTGAGGAACGGGATAGGGTCCGCAGCCCAGGTGGCTCCACTAGGAAGTTCCTTGGGTGCCCCCAACTCAGTCAAAACCAAAAGCAAGCCCCATGTTGCCTCTCCAAGCTGGTTTCTCGTTTTCTGCAGATGGCGTCACTGCCTGAGTCTGGGACAGTAGCTCAATCACCTTAAGTGCTCTCAAGGCTGCTTTGCACGTAGTAGGTGCTCAGTAAACCCTTATGCAGTGGATGCTTGGACTCTGTTGTGTTCATTTGTTCAGTTCATGAGGGACCCGTGGGGCTTTCTGTCCTCAACCAGTGCCCCCCATTCCCCATGCCACCTGGCACCTGGCACGTACCTCCCGCCTCCCGGAATCCTGTTCAGATTGTGAGGGTGTTTTGAAGCCTTTATCTCCCTTCTGACCGGGAGCTGTGAGGCCACATCCCTGCTGATCAAAGAGGTCCCCTGACAGGTGCCTGGCATATAGTAGGTATTTGTATGTAATTATTAAGTGAAGGCTGGGCGAATCTTTGTACCTGAACACCTAGCACGGTGCCTGGCGCTTCCTGGGCACAGAGTGAAGGCCAGTGGAGTGTGTGAATGGGCTGACTTTAAGAGGACGTTGCTGTGTCCCGCCCTCAGGGAAATGTTAGTATTCAGGGCCTCAGCTGCTTGGCGGGCAGGGCTGGGGTAGAGGAGCCTGAAGCCCAAGGGTTAAGCACGTGGTTAGGTGCAGTTAGAAAAATAAGGTGTCTTGAAGAAAAAGGATCAGACTTACCGGGATGCTGCCGACTCCTCCATGTGGGGCTGTGACCCAGGCGTGTCTTCATGCTGCCAGGCTCAGGGAGGGGAGGCTCAGGGAGGGGAGGCTCAGGGAGGAGAGGCTCAGGTGTGGGGTCTCCACAGGGCGCCGCAGACACACCTGCCATGCTCCCGGCCCACTTCCAGGCCTCCCTGTTTGGTTACAGACTCCATCAAGTGGGTGCAGGCCCCATCTCATCCTGTGCCCCCGGGGTCCCTGGGGGCCACCGCAGCTGGCTCTGCAGCCTTGGGGGCCGGGTGTCCTTCCAGGCGGCCGGCTCTGCCAGGCGCGTCCTCAAGCTGGTCTCCCCTTGTTCTCTCCGCAGGCTGCCCGGCGCCCCGAGGAGGCCGCTGAGCCCCGGGCCATGGTCCCCTCTCGCAGGACGTGGAACCTGGGAGCCACGCCCTCGCTGCGGGGCCTGTGGAGAGTGGGCCGGGCCGCGGAGCCCGCGCCGGCCATGGCTCGCCCCGCCCCAGCCGCAGCCGCAGCCGGCCCCGCCGCCCGCCCTTTCCCACACACCGGCCCGGGGAGGTTGAGAACTGGTGAGTCCGCATTTTTAAAATGCCTCTTTATTTCCCTTCCTTCCTCCAGATACCAGAGATGAGACTGAGGTTTCTCACCGGTTCCTAAACCCAGTCAGAGCTGTCAGGTAATTACAGGGTAACCGGCAGCCCAGAGCCGGCAGGCGTGGAGTGGGGCGTCAGTCCCGCCGGGCGCTGTCCCCGAGCCCGTCTGCAGGGAGGCCTCTCGGAGCCGGTTACGCTTTACCGCGGCGGAGATCAGGGGGCCGGCTGCGCTGCCCCGGCCCGCCGGCCGCTCGGAGCCCTGCCGCTGCGGTCCCTGGCCGGGTGCGTGGGCTCCCCGTCTCTGCCTGGGGCTGGTAAACAAGGTAGGTGAGGTGGCTGCCGGCGCCCGTGCCTGCTGACACCCGATCCGCCTGGGCTGGCCCCTGGACGGCGGGGAGCCGCCGAGGTTGCTGAGAGCGTGGCTGGCGGGCTTGGGGGCCACGTGCTCGGCCAGAGGTGCTTCTGTAGAGCCCTGACGGCAGGCGGGCTGTGACGGGGGTCTCAGAGTCTGGGGCCCCTCTGTCCCCAGGGAGTTGTCAGTGCCAGCTTGCCTTTCTGGGTCATGTCCCCCGGTGCCGGGAACTCAAGAAGTGAGAGGCTGCTCTGGTCCTGGCGGGGGCTGGACTGCTGGGGAGCTGCCACCGCCCTTTCTGAGCTCGGCGTGGGCAGGTCGCCCTGGTGGGGGGAGCGGGCTCTCCAGGCACGGTGCCTTCAGAAGTTTGCTCTCCGTCACTCCTGACCTACGGGGAAAGGGGCTGAGACTGCCAGCCTGTCAGAGCTAGCGGAGTCCCTCTGGGCCATCAGCTCCAAGCCCCTTGATGTACAGAAGGGGAAACGGAGGCCCAGAGTGGGCACACAGCAAACTCCTGGTTGTTTCCTGTCTCCCACCACGCTTGTGCTGTCTGGGGCAGCCAGGGTGATGCCTTCTGTGGTTGCCTGGGGCTGGTTACACCCGGGCAGCACAGCCTGGTTGAGCACGGCCCTGGGGGTCCCTGGGAAAGCTTGGGCTTTGGGGTCAGGTAGACCCAGTTGTCTGAAAGGGGCAGAGAGTGGTCTGCACCCCACGGGGTTGTCCTAAGGATTACAGATGTAACGTGAGCATTGCTTTTCCAGTAAGACAATATTTTCCCTTGGCAAGTGAAGCAAAAAGCCACAGAAAAATATAAAAAAGAAAATAATCACCTGAGCTAGTCACTGAATATTTTGTATAGTTGCTTCCAGTCCTCTGTCTGTGTGTATGCATATAGGTCTATTAAATGAGGTTTTTCTTTTTTTGAGAGAGGGTTGCACTGTGTCACCCGGGCTAGAGAGGAGTGGAGTCATCATAGCTCACAGCAACCTCAAATCCTGGGCTCAGGCGATCCTTTCTGCCTGAGCCTCCCGGGTAGCTGGGACCAGAGGTGTGCGCCACCACACTTGGCTGATTTTTGTATTTTTTGTAGAGATGGGGTCTCACTCTTGCTCAGGCTGATCTGGAACTCCTAGCTCCAATTAAACCTCCAGCGTTGGCCTCCCAAAGTGCTAGGATTACAGGCGTGAGCCACCATGCCCAGCCTATTAAATGAGTATTATAAAGATTACAAGAGCATACAGACTTTTATCCACCTAAGGTAGAGGTCAAATGGAATCCTGTGTGTGAGACACAAGGATATTGCCTGCCCCTGAGTAGGGTCTCAGCAGACTCAGCTGCCCCTGGGCCCCTCTGAAGACACCCCTCCGGACCCCCTTATTGCCACCTATAGGGGTACGCTGGCAGAGGGTTGGTTAGCACATGGGTTAGCTCCATGTGACCCTGGGCACGTTGTTCACGCTTCTGGGCTCCCTGGTCTTTGCCTGTTCGGACGCACCGAGGGAGAGCTGGGGACCTGCCTTCCGCCCCTCTCTCCCTGGGTGGTCGTGAGGAGCTGATTGCAAGCGTGGTCCTAATGGCCTGTACTGTGGGCTTTTTATATGTCTCATGTCATTTCATCCTCACCACAGGGCTGTAAGGTTGGTTCGTTATCCCCATTTTACTGACAAGTAAACTGAGGATCAAGAAGAGCTGTAAGGCCCAGAAAGCACTTGGCCCAGTGGCTGGAGCTCAGGATATTGATTCGTCCCAGCCTAGTGCCTCTGCAGTTTGACCCTGTGGGCCTCTGTCCCCCAGGTGGCCCTGCAGGCTGCGGCAGGGGGTGGGGTGGAGGGGACATCCATGCCAGGGTCCGCCCTCTCCCCCACCGGCGAGGGAGGCGGTATATCGGAGGCATGAGGGGATGCGCTTTAGCTGGGTTCCATTGTGCCTTCGGAGACGGGCCACCCTGCACGGGTTCGGTCTTAAGGAAGGCAGGGGAGAAACTGCCACCTAGAGGCAGCCAGGGTAATGAAGCCGCAGCCCCGGTGCGCCTCCTGGAAGAGTTGTGCGGGCCAGTTGGCGTGGGCTTCCTTCTGCTGCTCTGTCAAGCCAGTGCCAGCCCCAAAAGCCACCATGGGGGGAGGGGAGCCCCTGGTGGGGTCCTGGACTCCTTCTGGAAAAGAATCTTGGGGTGGCTTTTGGTAAGGAAGGAGTGTAGCCCCTGCCATGTGCCAGGCCTTTCCCCGCAAGCGTAGGGGGGAGGTGTATGAGGGCGCGTGAGTCCCCCCCGGTCGTGCCCGGGCAGCCGGGAGTGTGTGCAGGCCGAGCCCAGCCTCAGCCCCGGCCAATGGTCCTCGGCCGGCTGTCTTCAGCCAGCACTGTGCGAGTCTCACCTATCGCTCTGTTCCGGTACAGCGCGAGGAAAAGACACCCCAGTCTGCGGTGACGAGGAATCCAGTGCCCGGAGTGCAGTTCGCCCAGCCCTGGCTCAGTGCCGAGCCCTTAGCGTGGACTGGACTGGCCCCGGGAGCCCTCACGGGCTCTACCTGACCGTGCAGGTAAGCGCCGTGCCTTGGTCCCCTGAGCGGCGGCAGCCAGGTCCCCGCCAGCCTCCTGGGGGAAGGAAGTGCCGAGGGAGAGCTGGGGACCCACCTTGCGCCTCCGTGCCCAGCCCCTCTCAGCCACCACGAGCCCTTGTGCATGGAGCAGTTTGCTTTATTAAGTTATCTTGGGGAAGATCTCGCAGGAGGTGACAGCAGCTTTGCAGCCACGCCCTGGCTGGGGCGTGAAATGGGAAGCGTGGGGCCTTGGCGGGGAGGAGCTGAGCCCAGAGAACACAGTCAGGTTTGGGTAGCTGTTCATTCCCCCTCAGGCTCCTGAGTCTGGGGGACAACGCTTGTCTTTCCTTGTCGGAAGTGAGAATCCACAGCTACACAGGGGGCTTCACCGAAACTCGGGCTCCTCTCCCTTGTAGTTGTCACCAAGGGACCTCCAAAAGGCAAACTTACATACATATGTATATTCGGCTGTAGAGCTGATATGTGATGATAACAGTAATAATAGCTACTGTTTACTGAGCACTGACTCTGTGCCAGGTGTCCTATATCTCGTATCAGTCCTTATATTCCTCGTGACAGTCTCAGGACGTGGTTACTGTTTTATCTGAGCTTTGTGGATGTGGACACGGAGGCTCAGAGAGGTTAAGTTACTTGCTGCCAGTCACACAGTGAGCTGGGAGCTGAACCACTACACACAACTAGCCTTGTAACATGGTGTAGCAGGCGTCCTCAAACTATGGTCCTCGGGCCACATGCGGCCCGCTGAGGACATTTATCTGGCCTGCTGGGTGTTTTTGCCGCTGCTGCCTGTCCTGCTTAGCAGCCGACTGGACCCAGGCCCACAGTGCGCATGTGTGGAATGTGCGTCGCACTCTCCAGCGGCCCTCCAATGGCCTGAGGGACAGTGAACTGGCCCCCTGTTTAAAAAGTTTGAGGACCCCTGTTATAAAGAATTCCCACAGGGCGGAGATATAGTACCTGGAAACTCAGTGCCTCCTGTCGTCCTGTATCTTTGAGAAATCCCCTCTTTTTTTTTTTTTTTTTTGAGACAGAGTCATGCTTTGTTGCCCAGGCTAGAGTGAGTGCCGTGGCGTCAGCCTAGCTCACAGCACCCTCAGTCTCCTGGGCTCAAGCGATCCTCCTGCCTCAGCCTCCCGAGTAGCTGGGACTACAGGCATGCGCCACCATGCCCGGCTAAATTTTTCTATATATATTAGTTGGCCAATTAATTTCTTTCTATTTATAGTAGAGATGGGGTCTCGCTCTTGCTCAGGCTGGTTTCGAACTCCTGACCTTGAGCAATCCCCCCACCTGGGCCTCCCAGAGTGCTAGGATTACAGGCGTGAGCCGCCGCGCCCAGCTGAGAAATCCCCTCTTAAGTGTTTGGTTTTTATCCATTTATTTTTCCTGTATAATCACTTAGTTATATTTGGATGATTTTTTCCACGTTACTCTGCAACTAATTCTTTCTGTCAACAGTAAGTCTTGGTGATCTCTTGCTCGTCGACATGTAGAGAACTACCTCATTCTTTTAAACTGCTTCGTAATGTTCTACAGGTTTACCACGAGTTACCATCTAACCCGTCCTCCGTACCGTTTCTGATTGCCGTGAGCTCCGTAGACAGTATCTGTGTGTTCGTGGCGTTGAGTATTTTCAGGGCAGTGTGGGCTCTGCCCGTTTTTAATGAGCACGCTTGCTCAGCAGGTGTTTATGAGACCGACGTGCTGCCCACTGGCCAAGAGGGCCCCCGAGCAGGTATTTGTGGGGTGCCCACTGTGTGCCAGGGCAGGGACACAGTGAAGAAGGGAAAGAGCCGTGAGTCTGGCAGAGGCACCAGAGCATACCCAAGTGGTGGCGAATGTGTGAACAGAAACCTGGCACGGGCCAACACACGCAGTGGCAGAGCATGAAGGACCAGAGTTGTCCGGGTGTGTTGCCAAGGCCTCCCCGAGAAACTTGTGCGTGCAGGGCCCGCCGTCCCCCAGTGTTCCCCTGATGTGCGCACACCCATTCCGCCCTTTCTGGAAGCCCCACTTGCACAGGGCATAGGTGTCCTCCCCAGCGCAGACTTAAGTCCTAGCCCAGTGGCGTGTCGCCCCAACCCCTAATCTGAACACAGGCTCGGTGGTTGGTGTTGCTTCGGGGACAGTCTTGTGTTTGGAGGTGTTTCTCGGCCCGTCTCCTGTGGTTGGTTGGTTCATCTGAAAACTGCACCACATGGTCCCCCTCTTATCTGGCAGGCTGTGGGAAAGGCAAGTCTGGTGAGAGAACAGTTAAAGAAACCAGGGAACCTGGTCTTTGCTCCAACTTGAGCCATTGGTAGTTAAATTGGGACGTGGCGGTCAGAAACCCCAAACTGGGTGGCGGCTCTGCTCTTGAGTTTTGATTACAGGGTGCTGGGTTGTGGCTGTGGCCGAGTCCCGGGGTCAGCAGATCTGCTGAGGATCTCTGGGAAGGTGCCACCAGCGAGCGGCTTCCGTGTTCACGCCCTGTCGGGCCCCCGTAAAGCTCTTTTGTGTTTCTAGGTGCTCCTAGGATGTGGGGCCAGAGTGGGTCCCAAGCACAGCAAGGTGACCCAGCAGGCTTGGTGACTCCCCGCCCCAGCCTGGGTCCAGTGGTTAAGACCCGAGACGCCCCCACGGAGGTGCTGCAGAAATTCCCAGCCCCCTGGGGGCCGTCTGCCCCTCCCCTGGCTCGGCCAGCAGGCCAGAAATAGGGTGACCTTCGCCCTGGTCGGCAGATGGGAACTCCCAGCTGCTGCCCTGCTGAGCCTGGTGTGGCAGTTGGCTAGAGGGAGGGGACAAAATAAAGTTGGCGGGAATTTTTCTAAGTCCGGGGTGGGGGTGGGGGGGAACGCCACCCTCCCTTCCCCAGTGGCGCGTGGGGTCCAGAGGGACGGGTGGGTGGCGAGCTGCCGAGCCTGCCAATGTCGATTTTCTCATCTTTGCAATTCTACTTATTGGCTTTTTGATTATCAAAGTAAAGAAAACGTGAAGCTTGCCGGAATAACACAATGATACCGGCATGCCGTGTCTCGGGCTCTTGCTAGGGACGTGCCAGACGCCTTCCGAGCCCTTCGCTGACGTCCTCTCAGTTACTGTTCACAGTCTCGCTGAGACGCGGGCGGTCCTGGCTTCCGTTTTAGGAATGAGGGAAGCGCTGCCCAGGGGAGGCAAGTAACTTGCCCAGAGTCGCACAGCTTCCGTGGGGCGGAGCCGGGCCTCACACCCGGGCCTCGAGCCTCTAGACTGAACATCGTTTAAAAGCTAACGTTTGTCTTTTTGCTTTGAGTTTAGAGGGCACGAAGACACCCAGAAATCGTCTGCGTCTCTCTTCCCAGATAACATCTCTGCTGACATTAAAAAAATCCAAAACACCACTGATGTTCATTAGGCTAAAAATTCAAGCGACGAAAAGTTTCAGAATGAAATACTAGGCCACCTCCTTTCCCCTGTTCCCCCATTCTGTCTGTCGTGAAGCTTCTTTTTATTTGCAGAAAGTTTAAAGGACGCTTGTTTGTACTCTCAGCCACTGCGCTGTCGCCCCCTCCTCCCGAAGCCGCGCTCTGCGTGTGTCTCTAGGTCGTTTCCACGTTCCCTGTGGCTCTGCCACTTGCCCCGGGCCTCTTCCTGTGCGAGCTGCGGGTGGCTTCCTCTGGTCTCTCCCCGCGCCCCTGCACTGGCCTGCTCCGTGCCAGCCCCCTTTGCCTGGGCTCCTCGCCGGCCGGGGGACAGGCTCCCAGGGTCCCTGAGTAGCCACGCGGGGCAGGGGAATGAAGGAGGCAGGGCCGGGGCCTCCCCCTGCTTGGGTGGACTTGTGTGCAGCCTCTGTGGCCGTCCCCATCTGGAGGTGGGGGCTGTGACGGGGTGTGCGGCCGCTGACGTCCCGGGGGAGTCGGCCCGAGGTCGATGTGCGTGGAGGGGCTGGACGGTTGCCTGGCAGCGGTGGGCTTGCAGGTCCGGATTGAGCAGGCTGCTGTGACTCCCGCCTTGGAGCCCGCAGGGGTGGCCCGGGCTTCCCCTAAGGACTGCAGGCGCCTGAGAGAGCCGCCTTGGCTGGGGCAGGGGGCAGGGGAAGCCACCCCTGCCGTCTCGCTGTGAGATCTGGGCACACTTTCTTCCGGACCCCAGGCCCTATCGTCCCCACCCACATGGCGACGGGCTGGACCTGCCGGGCCCCGGGGTCCCCCCTGGCTCCCCGAGTGCGCCGCCCTCAGACTCAGGGGGTCCCTCCCCAGTGCAGACCCTTCACTCGAGGATTCTGGTTGTGTCTTGGCAGCAGGCCCTTCGGGACAAGGGGTGCAGGAGCCACAGTCGGGGGACAAAAGAAGAGAAGCTCCCAAAGAGGCAGGCGCCAGCCCCCAGGCGGGCCCGGGAGGCCCCGGAAGCTGGCGGCGCCATGAATGTAGAGAAAACAGGTAAAGGCGGCCGCCCGCTGACCCGGGACACCCTGGCGAGGCTGGCACAGGGGGGACTCCTGTGGCGTCTGAGCCGTCCCCAGACCCCGTCCTGCCCAGCCGGACTCTGCTGCCGGGCACGGTGCCGGGAGACCCCAGCCTGCCCCCCCCCCCCCCGCCCCGGGGGCAGCGGTGTGTGTGACCTCCCTCTCCCGTGCCACCCTCCGCCCAGAGCCGCAGAGGCCCCACCCAGTGATAGTGATAAGCGGCCTTGGCCAGTGCGGCCGGCCGGGTTGAATTTCCCCGCTTTTTGTCTCTCCCAGCGCCCGTCAAAAGCAGGTGCGGGCGGCAGCCTCACAGACGCCACCGCCTGCCCAGCAGCCCGGCGTCCCCTCCTGGCCTGGGCCGGTGGGGTCTGGAGGCTCCCGGGACAGGGCTTCGATTCTCCGGCCTGGAGCTGAGAACGAGGAGCCAGTGGTTCCGCTCTCTGGCCAGGCCTGCGTGCCGTCCAGGGGCCCGCTGCTTCCGGAAGGCTCTGTAGGCTCCCCGAGTGTGACGCGTAGTCTCCCGGCTCCATGCCGGCGTCCCCAGTGGCAACCGGGCACACGTATCCTCAGGGAGCCCACGGGGAAGGCCGAGAGTGCAGAGGAGGAAGGAGCTGGTGTTTCTGTTCTTTCCTCTGTCGCCAAGAGGTTGATTCGTATGGCTGAACTGCCAGGCGGTGGAAGGAGCCGCCGTGTTCTCTGCGCTCGCCCGTGTGGGACATGCCAGTCCGGCAGCAGGTGTCGCGACCTGGCTGAGGGCTGGGCAGAGAGGCCTGGGGAAGGGGTGTCATCCAGAGGATTGGGGGGCCTCCCTCCCTGGGCAGCAGAGGCCCCGAGAGGAGACATCCGGTTCTAACTAGGGGTGAGGACTGACCCCATCGGCAAGGCCAGCCTCGGCCTGCCGCCACCTCAGCACGAGGGCCTGTTCTGTCCCTTGCACCAAGTGCCCCTTTGGTCTCGCCTCGCCCTCCTGCCTTCCCCTGCCTTGGACTGCCCCCCTCACCCCACCCCCCGCCCCCAGCTTCTCGAAGATCTTTTCTGCCCCCATGAGCACCCTCTGGGCCCTGTCAGCTGCCCTGCACCTGCACACGGCGGAGCTGGGGTCAGGCCAGCCCCACTAGGGTGGCCTCCTGGGACACGAGCAGTGTCCCAGGCAAGCAGGCTCTCCCTCCGATGGCTCAGTTCAGCCCCGTGGCCTGTGGTGTAACGTTCGCCCACACCGGGCATCCCCGCGGTTCTGGGTTCCCCCGGGCAGAGCCTGTCGTCCCCATTTCACGTGGGCAGACCCTGCAGCGCCCTCCCACACGGATCTCGGGTGCCAGGGCCAGCTCTCCGCCAGAGGCCAGCGCGTTCCCTGCCACCCCACAGCAGTCTGCAAAGGGCTGAGGGCCACGCCGGTCACATGCCGCTCACAGCAGCCCCGTGTGCAGGCCTGGAAGCATCCGTCTGACCCGGTGCTCTCTAGAACAGATCGCAGGAGCTCGGCCAGCTCTGTGTGACGTGCGTGCTGTGTCACGTGCAGCCACACAGCCAGGGCCACCATCCAACAGGGGACTGCCCTGCCACAGCTCCCTGGAGGGTCTCCTGTCCTTAGAGTGCAGCCCAGCTGTGCCCACCTACCCCTCCTGCTCCCACGCAGCCTGCAGGGCCCCCCCAGCCGGCCCCCCGTCCAACCTAGTCCACTTGGCGTCCCTGCAGAGCAGCGGACACACCCCCAGTCGGGGCTGCCAAGGGTGTGTGTCACTTCACGTGCATGCCTGCCCCGCCAGCCCGCACCGGGCTGGGAATCCCAGGGGCCTAGTTCTAGAAAGCTCAGTGCTCCGGGGCTCTGAGGTGGGGGCGAGGGGGCTCTCTGGCCGGCAGATGTGACACCCCTCTTCATTCTTTGCTCTTGGACACTTTGCCAGCCCCCATTTGAGCAGCCTGCCCTTCCCCCTCCTCTGTCTCTCTCCCCCAACCCTGCCAGCTCCCGGCCTGCAGAGCCCCGGCCATGCTCGGTGCCTGGGGAGCAAGCTGTGACGGGCACCCCAGGCCCCCTGGTGGGTCATGGGCCTCCATTCTGTGTCTTTGCCTCGTCCATCTGTCTGTCTCTCTCTTGCTCCTGGTGACAGGACAGTGGGAGGCCATGGGAGGAGGAGGAGGAGGAGGAGGAAGGCTGAGTTCCCACCCAGCTCGGTATTCACCACTCCCCTGTGCCTGTGTGGTCTCTGTGCCGGGTCCTCACAGTGCCGCGGGCTGCCTGCCCCTCTCACGTGCACGCTGCCCTTGCCCCTCTCCGTGTGCAGGGGCCGCTTCCCGCAGGGCCGCCCGGGAGTCCCGCTCCCGTCCTGCGTGCTCTGAGAGGGTTTGAGGTTTGCAGAAACCCTGTTCCCACCAGCGTGGTCTTTTCCAGGTGAAAACCCTTCGTCTTTCTCAGCTGCGAGTCCTTGCGGCCTGGCCAGAGAGGGGCTAGCGGCCCGTGAGCCCTAGAACGCGTGCTGTGGGAGAGGCAGTCGGGAAGTTGTTGTCCTGAGTCCTGATCCCGGCACTTCTGTCCCCTAGAAGCTGCCCGCCACGGCGGCTTCCTCTGAGACAGGCCCGGCTAACCCGCGCCGCCACCATGGCCCTGCGCTTGTGTCCCCTCCTGCTCCCCGATGGCCTGCCCTGCCATGACGGACCCCTGTCCTCCGCCAGCCAGCGTGGGACCGCTGCCGCCCAGCTCATCAGCCGCTGCTTTGCTCGCAGGTGGGCGGCTCTTTGGCAGCGGGAGGTGCTCGAGCCTGGCGGGGCCGCCAGGTGCGGCCCCCGTGGTGCATAGGATGGTGGAGGCCATGTCCCAGCTACGGGAGGAGAAAGCCCAGCTTCAGGAGGAGCTGGCGGCCCTACAGGAGCAGCTGGTCCTCCGCGACAGTGACCAGCAAGCCACATCCGCCCAGCTGCAGAGCCAGGTACCTGGGGAAGCTGGAATGGGCAGAGGCCACTGCCCGCGCAGAGCAGGCACAGGACATCACCCTGGCTCCTGGGCCCTCCAGGCCGCTGGCATAGTAAGAGGAGACGGGGGCATCTCCTCTCCTGGCTTGGGGGGTGGCGAGAGTCCGCGGCCTGGGCCGCCCCCCTGGGCATCCTTTTGCTTCATCTCGTGGTCGCTGGGGCCAGGACCTGCCCCTCGGGAGTGACGTGGACGGGAGTGGAGCGGGAAGGTGCAGGGAGGCTGCCCGCCCTGGGGCCCGTGCCGATCCAGCCATCTCCACGGCGCCCTGGACCAGGCAGGCTGCGTGGACAGACGCGCTGCAGACGGCCACCCCACAGGAGACGGGAGGACGATTCTCGTTCTCTTGGTTTCTTGTCACAGGCAGAGGCTGGCCTGAGCGTGTGGGGGGAGGATCTCTCAAACCTCTGGAAGCCGGGGAGAGCCGGGTTTGTGCCGGTGAATGTCGTTTCCTTTGTTGGCTGTGCGGAGCGACGTCTGGGGGTGCTTGCCCTGTGGGCTGCTCGCCCTGTGGGGCTCTCTGCTGCCCTCTCCGCGCGTGTGGCTGCGTCTCCTCCTCCCCTGCCCCGCTCCGTGCAGGCCCCAGGCCCTCCGCCATGTCCCACCCTCGGCGGCGTCTCTCTGCGGCTGTGTCTGAGCCTCCCCCGCTTCCCCGGGTCCCCAGCATCCGCCCCTCGTCAGAGTCGGCGCCCTGGCCGGGCCGCTGCGGCTCTGGGCCCGGGGCTCTCTGTTGACAGCTTTGCCTTCTGGTCCAGTCAAGTTCTCTGTCCCAAGAGCCAGCAAAGACATCGCGCAGACGTGCGGACCATCTGCTTGGTGGCACGTCACAGGACGCTGTGGCTTGTTCCCAGTTCCCGGGCCGGTTGTGTGCATCACTCTCGGGGGCAGCATTTCTTCCAGCTTGCAGCTGTGTCTCTTCTCAGGAGCTGCCTGTCCCGCCCGCCTGCCCCTTGCCAAGTGGGCCTCCTTGGGGGCCTGTCGCGCTCTGTGTCTCCCTCCTGTCCCCTGGCCCTCCTGCCGGGCTGTCTCTGGGCCTGTCTGCCCCGCTGGCCGGGGCTCTTCAAGGCCAGCTCTGCGGTCCTCCTGCCTGCTGCACGCACGCCCGCCCGCCCGCCTTCCCCGGATGTTCGTGTGCTCCTCCTTTGTCCCGGCCACGGAGCTGGGCACCGGCGACAGGCGGGTGGGCGGACGGGCAGGCCCCAGCCCTGTGAGGCTCTGTTTGGGGGAACACAGACATTCGCTCCACACACCCATGGAAAGTGGGGTCTTCGGGAGGGGCATGCACGGGGCTGCAAGTGTTTGTCCGAGGGGGTCACGACCCCGTTGCGGAGGTCAGGGTCGGCCTCGCTGAGAAGGCAGTGCCGGAGCTGAGGTCGGGCACGGAGCAGAGGGGCGTGCACTCCCAGTCGAGGACAGCCAGCGCCAAGGGACTGTGGCAAGGGGCGTGGCTGGAGCGCTGCTGGGGGCCGTGGTCCAGGGGCGTCTGGCCTCGGGCAAGAGCCTGGCCGCGCCTCCCCTCTCCTCGCCTCCCCTCTCCGCGCCTCCCCTCTCCCCGCCTCCCCTCTCCGCGCCTCCCCTGGCTAGGCCGTTAGGACACTTCATTTTTCAAACAAGTTATTTTTTTAAAGAGCTTTGGTGAGATGCTGTTGACATACCATAACATCCCCTCCCCTGAGGTGTGCGGTTCAGCGTTGTAAGTGTATGAAGAGGGCGATGCAGCCGTTGTCACCGTCTGACTTCAGGACATTTTCTTCACTCCAGACCACCTGGCAATCCTTCTGCGTCCTGCCACCTGACAGGCGCTGGCTACCATCAATCTGCCTTCTGTTTTCATGGATTTGCCTTTGAACATTTCATACAAATAGTATGTAGCGTTTTGCGACTCTAAACAAGTTTTTGAAACTATTTTTTACTTTAGTTAACAAAATCTACTTACTTTTTAAGAGGAGAAGTTTTGAGGGTGACGCGTCCCGGCCTTTTTGGTGGCTTTGGGCCCAGCTTCCCCCAGCTGCCCACCCCCCACCACCCTGTGACTTGGGAATTCAGAATGGTTCCGGTCTTTGCTCTCAGTTCGTCCTTGGCTTTTGTGAGCGCCAACCCTTTTCTGGAAATTCCTGGGGGGTGCGCCTGGTCTCCGTAGCTACTCCCTGGAAGGCCTGAGCTTGTGCCACGTGGCCAGCCACGTGGGCCTCGAGCCGGGTTCAAACTCTGACCTTGGCACTCTCTGCTCATGAGCTGTGTGACCCTGGTTAATTACCACTCTGCACCTCAGTGTCCGCATCCGTGAGATGGACGTTATAAGAGTACACAGTGAGTCGATCCCCGGGGAGTAACTGGGCTTGCTGCTGCCGCCGTGGTCGTTCCCGGGAAGAGTTTTGGATGGGGAATCCCGCGAGCAGGATTCCGGTCCTGCTGTGCCACCTGCTCGCTGCGTGGCCGTGGGAAGCTGCTTCCTCTCCCAGCCTTCCTTTCCCAGTCCCTAAACGGGGGCTCATAAATGTTTTTTTTTATTTGTGGTTGTGGGGTGGCGCAGCTGTGAGAGTGGAGAGAGAGAAGATAGTAAACTGTAAAGTGTGGTGGCTCGTGAGGTGTCCCCGCGCGCGCCCTGGTCTCCGGTCAGCCTCGCTGGTTGGACGCAGACGTTGACTTTCCTGGCACGGCGACCGTCGCCCCTCTAAGAAGCGCGTGCCACGGCGCACACTGCCTTGTTTGCTCGGCGCTCCTTCCCGGCGTGTGCACGCCGCCTCCTGCCCGGCTGCCTCCTCGCGCCGCTGTTCCCGGAAGGCCGCGTGGCCTCGTGGTTGGGAGAGGGCCCCGCGAGGGCCGGTCGGACTCGGGTTCTAGTCCTGGGCCTGCCACCCGGTGGTCAGGTGACCTCTGGTAAGTTGTTTAAAGAAGGCTTAACCTCTGGGGAGCTCGGTTTTTCTCCCTGTAAAATGGGGATGATAGTGGGACCTGCCTGTTACTGGGGGCTCGAGGTGATGAAACCCCCTGCCCCGCTGGCCGAGCCGACTGGGGAAATGGGCCTCCGTCACCACCGCGGGGGCCTGGGCTCGTTTGTGGGGACCGCAGGGGCCATCGCTAAGTGTCACGTGGACAGGGTGAGTGTACTCACGGAGCACTCGGGCCACACGCCTGCAGTCCCTGGGTGCCCGGCTGACCCAGGCCACAGGGGCCGTGGCTGGTCTTGGTCTGGTGACCGGAGGCGGCTGTGGCTGTCGGGATGACCCTCCCCGAGGACGTGCTCTGGTGGCCTTGAGCTCCCCTGCCCCAGTCATCTTGTGGGTGTCTCTAAAGCCGTCGGCCGAGGTTCCTGCCAGTGTTACCCCCGCCCCTTACCCGCCCCCTACCTCTGCGTGGAGCCTTAACAGTTGTCCTTGGAGACCCCAGACTGGATCTTACCATCAAATGTGTCCTGTTTGGCCTGCCTGTTCACTTTTCAACCATTTTCACCTTTTAAAAAAATGCGGTAAAGCACACGTAACAAAATTTGCCATCTTAAGCACTTTTAAGGGTAAAGTTCAAGGGCAGTGAGTGCGTTCACCTTGTGCAGCCATCGCCACCGTCCATCTCCCAGCTCTTTGGAGCTTCCCAGACTGGAGCCCTGTCCCCATCAGTGGTGACTCTGGTCCTCTCCCTCCCACCCACGCACCTTCCCACTGTCTGTCTCTGAGTGTGACCACGCCAGCTGCCTCCTGCGAGTGGAGTCATGCGCTATTTGTCTGTGACTGGCTTATGTCACTTAGCGTAATGTCCCCCAGGTTCGTCTATGTTGTAGCATGTGTCAGAATGTCCTTCCTTTTTTTTTTTTTTTCCTCCATAGGCAGTAGTTAATGGCCTTTTTAAGGCTGAATAATATTCCATTGTGTGTATATACCACATTTTGTGTACCCATTCATTCGTTGATGGACACTTGGGTTGCTTTTACCTCTTGGCTGTTGTGTATAATGTTGCTACAAACACGAGTATACAATCCCTGCTTTCAGTTTTTTTGGGTATATACCCAGATCATAATCATAATTGTATGGTAGTTCTTTTTTTGGTGGGGGGGTTATCCCAGTAGGCAAGCATGGCTCATATGGTCATTCTGTTTTTAATTTATCTTATTTATTATTATATTTTTTCGAGACAGTCTTGCTAGTCACCCAGGCTGGAGTACAGTGGTGGGATCATAGCTCACTGTAACCTTGAACTGCTGGGTTCAAGGGATCCTCCTGCTTTAGACATATGCACCACGCCCAGCTAATTTTATTGTTTTTGTAGAGGTGGGGTCTCACTATGTTGCCCAGGCTGGTCTTGAACTCCTGGCTTCAAGCAATCCTCCCGCCTCACCCTCCCAAAGCGCTGGTATTATAGGCGTGAGCTACAGCACCTGGCCTTAGTTTTCATTTTTCGAAGAACCACAATACTGTTTTCCATAGCAGTTGTACCATTTTACATTCCTACCAGTCATGCACTAGGGTTCCAGTTTCTCCACATCCTCACCAGCACTTGTTATTTTGTTGTTTTTCTTTTTCTAATAGCCATCCTGATGCGTATATGAAATGTTATCTCATTGTAGTTTTGGTTTACATTTCCCTGATGGTTAATTATGTTGAGCATCCTTTTTTGTGCTTATTGGCCATTGGTATATCTTTGGAGAAATTTCTATTTGAGTTCTTTACTCATTCTTTAATTGGGTTCTTTGTTGTTGAATTTTAGGAGTTCTTTGTATATTCTGGCTATTAACCCCCTATCAGATAGATGCTTTGCAGATATTTTTCATGGGTTGCCTATTTACTCTGTTGATAGTGTCCTTTGTTGTACAAAAGTTTTTAATTTTGATGAAGTCCAACTTGTCTGTATTTTCTTTTATGGCCCATGCTTTTGGTGTCATATCTAAAAATCATTGCCAAATTCAATGTCATGATGTTTTCTCCTATATTTTATTCTTAAGAGTTTTACAGTTTTAATTCTTAT